CCCCCCCCCCCCCCCTACAAAAATGAACAGTTAACATTGCAATTGAAGCAAATGAATGAAATCCAATAACAAATATAGCAAGACAGTTCATTTCTCACAAGAATTATCCTCGAACTATTAATTTCTGCTTAATTTTTGTGTTGTACAATATTTTCTTTTAACACCTAATTTTTTCACACAATTTTGTTTTTACAGTTATTAAGATATCACTATATTTCAGATTCAGGAAGAACAGAAATTACGAGTGATGCTTCCTGTGAATTGATCCAGTTCTATAAACATGGCAGAGGAAATGTTACAAATGTTCTCTTTACATTCTATTACAATATGTCGCAAAGTTTTCAACCCTGTCAACATACCTAAGGATTTGTAATGGTGTTTGAAAGCAGGACAAACATTAGTCCAGGGCTAAATTGACAGATTTGTTAAGGTTTTAGTTAAAGAGTTTCTCATAGTCATGTAATCCTGGTTTTTTTTAACAAAGGTAAAGAAAAAGCATACCATTATAACTTTCAGTCATTTCAAAAAACATTTTAAAAAAAAAAAGCCATAAAATTACTATGGAGTCAGGATTTGAAAAAGATCTGGTGGATGCGTTGAAGTCTGTAGTGAATGGAAGTAACTGGCAATGTCTTGGAGAAGTCGATCAACTAAAGACGTTGAAATGTAGACGGTAAGTTTAAAGATAGCAAAATATTGACACATGCGGTTTCCATTGTCATATGAATGATCTTGTCTCAAGGATCCCTGTACCATGGTTTCCATTGTCATATGAATGATCTTGTCTCAAGGATCCCTGTACCACGGTTTCCATTGTCATATGAATGATCTTGTCTCAAGGATCCCTGTACCACGGTTTCCATTGTCATATGAATGATCTTGTCTCAAGGATCCCTGTACCACGGTTTCCATTGTCATATGAATGATCTTGTCTCAAGGATCCCTGTACCACGGTTTCCATTGTCATATGAATGATCTTGTCTTAAGGATCCCTGTACCACGATTTCCATTGTCATATGAATGATCTTTTCTTAAGGATCCCTGTACCACGGTTTCCATTGTCATATGAATGATCTTGTCTTAAGGATCCCCGTACCACTGCCAGAAACTAAATACGTACTGGAAACTGTTTCTGGTATAACTTTACCTTTGATAAATCATTTCTGAAAAGAAAACCATTCCTGGTGGGGATTTTATAAAAAATGATAAAATGAACAAAATATAATCAACAAGTGTTCTGATTAATTTTTTTGGCGAGGCTAGACCTGGATTCAAACCTGGATTCAAACCTGGCCTTCAGATCGTTATACTATTGTTCTAACCAACTAAGCTTCCTGGTCCAGGGATAATTCTGGAGGGGGCCATGGGGCCATTGAAACGAAAAATGTATAAACCTAAACTTCACGGTATATGTTTATTTGTATACATAGTATATGTTTTTCAGTGTCTATACAGAGGAGGGAGATGATCTCGTTCTGATCAATGTTCTGGATGGTAAACAGTTCTTTGTGCTGGACGCCTCTTGTCCCCATGAAGGTAAGATATAATGATTGACATTCATTTTGACGGCGTATATACTGTAGTATGAACACAGTTGGCAACAAACATTTTCTACATATAATATATATACTTGTATATTTGTTTGATTGGGAAAATGTCCTGCTTATTAAATGTGTATTAATGTTAATTTGTTAAAATATCCATATTAATTTTCTCAATTTTTTAAAATGCTGTCGCAATTTATCCAATTGAAATGGCATAATCCCTGTGAATAGATATGATTTGCAACTTATTGAGAAACAATTGATCTTTATCTGTAAAAAGATCTATTGTTTGTATTCATTTAAAAATTCTTGTAATTTCAATTACCGGTACTTTTTATATCATTTCTACCTCACAAGGCGGTCCCCTTGATGAGGGAGATATTGAAGATATAGATGGCCGTTGGGTTGTGCTCTGTCCGTGGCATTCATATGATTATGACCTCAAGACTGGCCAGTCCTCGTCTGGTCTGGTGGTAAGTTAAGCTTGACCTTTACAGACTTAACCTCTCTGCATCAAATCTAAACATACTGTGAAGTCACTAATTTTTTTTTTTTTTTTATTTCATTGATAATCTTCATCCACAAATTCATAGGTCAGCAAAATAATTATAAGTTAGACATAAACAAATTACTCCATTTTAGTGGGTACTCGTAATCCACAAATTCTTGTACCTACAAAATGATGTTCCGTTGGGAAACCACACAATTTGGGCCCTACGAAAATATCTAACATCACAGTAGTTTTAGAGAATTTGATAAAAGTTTTAAACCAGTAAAAACAGAGACAATTATTAACTAAAACAAAATAATTTCACTACCAAATTACTTGTCTCAAAAACCTGGTCAGGTTAAGTAAAAAGATATTTTATAAATACTGGCTATATTTTGTATAATTTAGCCTTTTTATACATGTTTAGCAAGACACATACCCTGTGGAGGTGGTGGAAGGGAAAGTATATATTTATACAGACAAGAGTCTCTCACTACAACCTAGAAACACCTCACAGGTAACTACAGGTGAGTACTCTTGTATTTTAATTAAAATTTGCCCATGGGTTATTTGTTTATTCATGAGTGTGGGATAGAGTTATCTCCCCTATTTGTCTGGAAGATTTAAACTGTACATACATGTATAGTCACTGTTGCCTTCTAGCTTGCGCTAGAGGGAATTTACCATCAGTGGCGGGGAGGACTTGGAAACTACCTAGGGGTGGCTGGTGCAATCATCAGTGGAAGCCCTCTACTCTCTTGCCTGTTACAAATGGTGTCCATGCATGCAACTCAGGACCTCCCTGTGGTGACAGTGAGTTAGAACCTGGTCTGTTGTGGTGTTCGAGGGTGAACATATTTAAAATGGTGGGGTAGTAATACTACTGTCATCAGTAAGATTTATCAGTTTAGAAATATGTAATATCAAAGTTTTACTTTATACACTAACAATGTACGTATTAAACATGGGGCATGTTTCAAGACCGACTTGAGATCTCTTTGTCAAGCTGTAACACAAACTTTATATACATGCAAACATAAACAAACAAAGGGACCAGTCGGTCTTGAAACATTGGGACACGTTTAATACGTACATTGTTTGTGTGTAAACTGAAATTTTGAGACAGTCATAGCTTTACAAAGGGATCAATTGGCCTAGAAACATTATGACACGTTTTGCTAATATTGTTTGTGTATAAAGGGAAATTTTCATGTTTCCTTAATGAAGTTTGATATAAAATTGACGTTCTATATTTAAGATCTTATGTTACTTGAATGATGAAGTTTGTCTATTATTCCCAACAGATCCTGCTGTTATCAGTAGTACAGAAGTTAAGGAGAATGACAACAGTCTGACTTACTGGGCTGTCAAAGTTCTACAGACCGCCGATCCAGAGGACAAGGTCAGTTACCTCCCTTGGTGCTGTATATCATTTTTATATGTCGAGTGGAATTGACAGTACTAAACAACTGTTCATGATCATATTTTCTCTTATTCCTGTGAGTATATGACAGAACTGCCCAGCACACATGATATGGGTGTAAGAAATTTCTATCTTACTCCCCGTGTCATGTGCGTGATGTCGAAATGAGACAACAACAATGTGATGTCGCAAAATGAGAACATTTTAGTGCTGCAATGTGAAAACTGTGACACTTTTTGGTGGGTTTCTGAGCTAATACGAATGAATTGAAAGACAGAAAAATACTCTTTCATGCCCAGGGAGAGGGAAAATCTGTCCTCAGACTTTTTCAAATTATTGCAAAACCCTCCGCAGAGCCTCAAGTTTTACCCAATTTAAAAACACCTGGGGTGGAATTTTCCTTTCCTAAGTCTTATAATATTTGTCTAGTCAATAGTTGTATTCAAAGAGCTTTATAGGCAAATGTCACATAGTTTGTCAGGATGTTCCATTGTGTTTGCCTCTTTCAAATTCCAAAATGAGGGACTCAATGAAGGTGATTGACCGTCAACTGATGTTAAATTATAACATACACTACTGGCATACGAACAACCAAACACACTATAATAGCTTATATTGTCGCAGTAATACTGTATACGGGGAAAGTGTCGCTGCAGTTTAATTTTTGATAATTTTGATATTGTACACTATATATAGTGGTCCGGCTTGCTGGAACAAGCTATTCTAGGGTGCCTTACAATGCACATACTCTTTAGATTATATTTACCTCAATCAGTGAATACATGCGCAATTGATACAGTTTGATTTTTTTTGCTAAGGATACCTACCGTGTGCTATCTTCTGGTCCTATGCCGCCTAGCTAGCTAGTAGCGTAATACTTCCTACTAGTGATTCATTGACGGTAACGTTAACTGACTCCATGTGTGCTGCTGGTATGATAATGTTGTCCCAGTTATGGCCAGGAGGTTTATCATTAAAGTGCAGGTATTTAATTGACAGAGTTGAAAACCAAATTAGGCTATATATTGTCTTTGTACGCACTTCATGATTCATGTACGCTCTACATAGGAATTCCATATATTGAGGTCAAAGAAACTGTCAGCTTAAATCTTTTCAGAAAGTTGCAAAAGGTACAACTAAATGAATTTGAAAAAGATCGTTAATGTTGATGATCTGTTGCAGGCAAGACTGACTTTGAAGATAGGAGAGCTCTGGAGATCAGGGGAGGTCACTGTGATAGGTAATCATTCCCCGCCAGACCAGCCGTCTCGCGATCCTCAACTCAATGTAGTAGCTCCCGGAAAAGAGAAGAAACGTGGAAAAGGGGGTACTCAGGTTAGTCTTGTTGCAGGTTTTTTTACAATGCATTACTGTACTGTACAGAAATATTAACTGGATCATCACAGAGGATAAAACCGTCACAATGCCAAATATTAGCAGAAGTCAAACTCTGTATAAAAGTTTCTACTTTGAATGGTGAAATTAAGATACAGCTTATATGCAATGTGAATGATTCCTGCCGATCATGAAAAATAATGGGGATGGGGGATTTGGTCATGCTATATAGGCAGAAATTCAAAATGTACAGGGGATGCACAAAATCCATTCCTCTGGAGAAAACTCTGAATTTACCAGTAAAGGGAACTATTGATTAAATGCTCTATGCAGTAATCACGAAAAATGAAATTTGTTAGATTAAATGTTTCCTTTTTACATTTGAGTATCTCGTGAAACTCTTGTTTCCTGCAGTATAACTTTCAAATATGGTTTATTTTTGCACAATGTTGTCCTGCAAAATTATTTTTATTTAAGACTTCTAGAAAAAGTTTGATATTTGTTTTTCTTCCATTGCACTTCCTTGATTTAAAAAAAAAATTGTATCTATGCTTAATTTCATGCTAATTCATTTGATCCTGAAAAAAGGGAAATGCATACCCAAGGATCACTGGTAATATCAAAGAAACAATATTAAAACTGTTGTATTAATTTTTTTTTTTACCTGATAGAGTAGTCGCATATCAAACCTGCACTCCCTCGCCAACATAGAGCAGTGGGCCATCGACCTGGCCTGGGATATTGTGGCTCGCTTCACCCGTCTGTCCTGTGGTGGTCACTCAGAGACTGACCATACCTTAGACGCTTCAGGTCAACAACTACCTAAAGAATTTTTGGATGATTTCATTCAAGTTGCCTGTGATGAAGCAAAGGTTTGTTATTATAAACAGTAAATGGAAATAATCGACCCTCAATTTTAACCCTTTTTTACTTTAACCATTTCACCACTGTAGATCATAATGGACTTATCCAGATCAATGCATGGGAGAGTTTACTAATGTAACATAGGGATGAAAGGGTTTTATCACACATAGTTTTCTTCATACTTAAGCTTTTAGAAAGATCTGTCAGTTTCCTGTTTCAAATTTATAAATATCATTTAAAATATCATCAATTATCATAAATAAAGATAAAAGGATGTCTCTAACGTTCTTCGTGTTGGAGGAAACCAGAGGACCCGAAGAAAACCCATGTGGTCAGGCAGATGACCCCATAATGTTTCACGTCTGATCAAGGAATTGAGCCTTGGTGAAAGGCAAGTGTTGCACCACCTGACCACCCAAAGAAATTAATAAGAACTACATCTTATTTTTTACAGCATTTCCTGTTACTGTCAAACAGACTGAAGGACCTAGACAGCCATTTCGGTGCCTTAACTGTACATAATGGTAAGGTTTGCTCGGGAATGTGTTTGTTTATTGTGTTGTTGACATGAAATTCATTGAAAGCCACCCTGTGTACATTTTATATTACAAAGGGTTCGTAGATATGGACAAGCCTTGAAAAGGCCCTAAAAACAGACAGTCGGCTTTGGAAAGCCGTAAAATTGATGAAAAGGCCTTTGTTTTAAATGCCATTAAATTTATCAAAATGTCTTGAAGGATGAAAATGAACCCTAAATGCTTATTAAGTTATGACTGTTTATAATTTTTTGTGGTTTTAGGTGATAATCTCATAAAAATGAATTCAGAAAATACAATAAAATGACAAATATGTTATTTCTAGATATTCGGACTGACCAACCAGTGTTATACTTTAAGGTTGTTTGGTGTTGATATGGTGAGCTAATTGGAGATATCCAAGTTACACGTCCAGATCTCTGTATGTTGAGAATTTGCAAATGACAGAGATTTTAGGCCTAAATTTTACTGAAAAACAAACCTGAAAATGCCCTGAAAAGCCTTCAATTTTATAGTAAAATTCTTGTATATTCACAGGACTCTGGGAGTCGGCGAGAGAAACTGAGGACTGTCTGCTAGCTAGACTTGCCGTAGTACACATGGTACATGAAGCTCGGTAAGGTTGTTACTAAGTTGTTTATATGTGTCAATCTGGTAAAATGCTAGCCTCTTCCTACCGACTCTGCCAGGGAGAATTTCTCTTTAGCTCATTAGGTAAAGCGACAACCAGTAAGCTAAAAGCATGGAATATGATAATGACATCTGTTACATTATTGGCGCCCAAGTAGGGAACTGGGAAATATTGAAAAAATACTGGTGATACTTTCTCAAGAATCGCTATTTTACCCCTGAAAAATTAGTAAAATTAATACCCCTGAAAACTCTGGATGAGCTCTTTCCTGGAGGGGCTGGGGGTGTATGTCACCCTGGGAAACACTACAAACCAATGATTGATTATGATTTTAAAGTGATTGACCATCAATACTCAGAGTGAATCATAAAAATCTAATAAAATAACTGGTCTATGAAGTAAATAATTCCTATAGACCTGCAGTGTATCAATAGTGAATGTCTGTGAGTTACTATACTGTTAAGTTTGAACTTTGCTATATTTCTATTGATAGAGTAAGAAATTGCAAGTTCAGTAATTCACTACTGTTACTACACAGAAATCAGCTTGAGCTATATGGTATTTATTTACCAGATCAATCCGCCCCTTATATATAATGTAAGTGTGCTTCGTGTAGAAATATATAATGTAAGTGTGCTTCGTGTAGAAGCTTGTTGCATTTTATTTTGCATTTTTTCTACAAAAAAACCCCATTTAATTGTAACAATTTCAGAGGATTGGATGTTCAGCCTAAAACTTTAGCCAAGTTTGCCTCCCAGAAAGATGAGAAATCAGTAGATGTTTTGAAGGTGATTTACACAGATGAAATAACACACGTGGCAGCAGGCCTCCGATGGTTTACCTACGTCTGTCAACACCACAATCCACCATTGGTGAGTATGTAGACCCACACTCACCATTATACGTGGGTATATACTGTAAACAGGGATGTTCTTACAGTGGTTATATCTTTTCGTATTTTGTGGAGGATTCAGATTCTCAGAAATTAAACACTCGTATAACATTACCAGTACGTGTACTCCTAATATATCATGATCAGCTTGAGTTTAACAGGGACTTGTTTTTGTATTATTACAGAACTTTCTACAGTTCGACTGTGATAATCGTTTTATTATCATTCATTTTCAGGACTGTATTCCAACATTTCACGACATGGTGAAAAAACATTTTCGGTAGGTTGCATCATCAAAACACATCACTTAATTTACACAGGAAATTAATAAAGCTACCATTCTTTATATGTTTGAGTAGCCTCTACAAGACAGATTCATAACAGTCCTTGCTTACCTTTCAAATGTGCCCTTAAATTTTGTTAATTTTCAAATGTATCATTATTTCTTTTGTAGTGTCAAATGTGTTATCAATTCGTCCAGGTCTCGAGGCTAAAAATGATCAATATTTATAAAAATATCCTGTATATTTGTATATAATTATGTATTACAGTAAAGAAAAAAACATACAAAATAATTATGTTTTTTTATGAAAAATAACAATTTTACCACATCTCTTGTCCAGTTTTCTTTGGTAATTTTAACTTATAAGAGAAAAATGTTGCTTTTCAGAGGATATTTGAAGCCACCATTTAACACGGAGGGGCGTGGCACAGCGGGTATGGGACCAGAGGTAAGGTCAACGTCATATTCTGTTGGTGGGTCATGACCTTATGACCTGTCTTGGGTTCATAATCCAAAAACAGGGAATGAATCTGTGCGTCTATAATGTAGAATCTCATAAGTCCATCCATTTTCATTGATAAATTTCACTGGTATGGGAGATAACTCTATCCTGCACTGTTTCTCTGATGTGTTAAAGTTACAAAATGGGAGACAAAGATTAAATCAGTGTATAAGGACAGGACCATTGTGTTGTTTTAGAATTGTGGTGTTACTTTTGACATTGATATTGAAAATTCTGTCTTATTCCCCTGTATTTGTATTGTACACAGAAATAGCACCCCTTTATGATATACGTTACTTATTCCCTGTATTGTACACATAGAAATAGCACCCCTTTATGATATACGTTATGCCTACTTTACAGTATATAGGAAAGTATCTCAAGAAGAAATACAACAATTCAATTCATTTAAAATTGTAATAGCGAGGTCACAATTATTAACTAATAAGGCCAGACAAACAAATATGTTTCCTGCAATATTTGGAAAAAATTAGAGTACAGTGTTTTGAATAATTAAACATACAATGTTTTTCTCAATGTTGACTAAACCTATTGTTTTGTTATTTCAGTGGTATTTGCCTCTAATTAAGCCACAGAGTTGACCCCTGGGAGAGAGGATGCAATAAACCAATCACCAGTGTAGTCAAGATTTTCACAGGAGTTACTGTTAGATTTCAATTTATAAAAAAAACATCAAATTAATCATTAAATTGGCCATTAAAAGGTGGAAAGGAAAATTATGACTGTAATACAGTAAAACCTCGATATAGTGCCCTTTGTTTCATTTGCCATCTTGTATACTGTCAACATATTTCAATTCCTTTTTCTAGTTTTCTGAAGAATGCCATTGTATATTTGCCTCCATTTATTGCCCAACCCCTTTTTTATATCGTCAATATTTCTCTTGACAAATGGTGGCAATATAACTAGGTTTTACTGTAATAATGGCTATAGAATAGGCTCTTTAATGGTAGTATATTTGCCATTAATATGTGATTTTGTGATTTACTGGAAATCAATGGTAAATAAATTTGCTATATCTGATATAATAAGCATTTGCTTTCATGGTTATTTTTATTTTCAACCCATTCACCCCTAAAGTCACATTTGAACCTTACTAAATCAAAGCCTGGGCAAGTCCAGTTTAAATATGTAGGGGTGAATGAGTTAATGTCATTGCTATGATAGTAATAATAAATTGTCATAAAGAATGTCAAAAACATTTGTTGAAAGTAATTTATTGAAAGAAAAATTATTAAAGAAATCATTAAATTGCAGTTGGTAGTCCTTTATGGGCAGTGAATTCTATGTAAACATGTGTACACATGTATGTATCAATCATCATTATATCACTGAATGGATGTACCACAGAGTTAGAATAGTCCAAGTCCAGAGTTATATATTATATTTGATATATGATGTCTTACATGCTATTTGAAAGAAAATAAACTGTTTCATTTTCCCAGCTATGTGTGGTGTTTTTGAACTATAAGTGCAAATTTCTGGCTGCAAAATTGCAAAATTAATGGCGGACATTAAATTAATTGAAGGAAATAAAATGGCGGTAAAAATAAAATTTCGTAACATAAACGAGTTCCTTTTGTTGACGTATGATGATTGAGTAAACTTATTTGGCTGACATCACCCATGTATAGACAGGTGCGAACATGTAAGATATATAGAGGATCTAGCACGAGTGTTCATGTTATATTGAATTTATTGAACGAGTATATTAATTTCATATGAAATTAATATACGAGTTCAATAAATTCAATATAACATGAACACGAGTGTTAGATTCTATTTATTATATAATTCGAGAAACCTACCTACATAAGTGGTTTCAATACTAACGTCTCTATATGCAATGACGACGAGAAAGGACGCATCACATATACTAATTTGAGAGCATGTTCCGCTAACAAAAGTAGTCCGCAGAATTTTATCAGAATAATAAATGGCCAACAGTTTTACTTTTAACGATCATTTTAATTGTGATAACAATTGAAATAATAAAAGTTTACAAAATATGACTTCTTTTTTTT